CGAGTGAAGGCACCGGGCCGACGGCGGCACCTCAACTCCGGGAGCGGGACGAGGTGGACGGCGTGCCCGTCCAGCGGTGTCCCTGCAGCTGCCCGGCTGCCCGGCTGCGGGTGCTGCCGCCCACCCATGGGACAGCAGGGACCACCTTGTACGCTGTGGCACCGACTGGACGCAGAGCCTCCCCGTGGTCAGCCCGAGGAGGACACGCCGACAGGACGACGCGGGGAGGCTGCTCGGCAGCCCCCCCCCTTCAGTGAGGCTGGCAGTGACCCCGCCTCCCTGGGGCCCCCCGGGGTGTGCGGTGTCTACGCAGCCCCCTGGTTACAGTTTCGACTGCCGGGGGAGGAGGCCACCCCGCTCCCCCGGGGACCTGGCCTCGGGGCCCCTCCCGAGCCACGGGCCCTGAAGCTGGTCGGCCCCCAGGCGCTGAGCCCTGAGCCGCTTCAGCTCGGGTAAATGTGACTCCGACAGGCTTCCTGGGCGAGGGTGGGCTGGAGGCCGGCTTCCACTCGGGAGGCCGCGAGCTCACGGCGAGGGACGTCCTCACGGAGCTGCGGCTGCCCGTCGGGCGGCATTCTACAACACGGGCCCCGTTCAACACGAGAGGCTCTGTCTCAAGCACGCTCGCCACGCAGGTGGGAGAGCGTGCAGGCGTCTCCCAGGCCTCACCTGTCGGGAAGAATTCAAGTTTTGCATGCCCAGCCCCGAGGCGACCCCACCCAGGGCCTGACCGGGCGGCGCACTGTTTGAAAGGGGGAGCTTCAGGCTTGGCGAAGGCAAAAATGGTGAAGTCGCGGGCTCTTCCACCAGGCCGCCGTCCTGATTGGAGAAAGAGAGGGAGAGCTGTGGGCAGCACCCGCCACGGACAGGGCGCCGCCCCGGGAGTCCACGGGAGACGGGCAGAGGCAGAGCAAGGTGTGGACGGTAGGTGTGGGGACGTGGGCAGAAGGCAGAGGGAGGAGAGAAAAAGAGAAACAGGGTCACGATGCTGTTTCCATTTAGAACATGGTTTTAGAAACAGGTATCAGCTGCCATTCACATGCTGAGGCCCTGCCTGGCGGGAGTCGGGAGAGAGCCGGGGGCCGGGCCTCGTCTGGAAAGCACCCTCGGCTACTTGCGGACCAACTGGCTCACGGAGAAGGCGGGCTGGCCAGGGCGGGCAACAGGCCAGACCCGCCCCGTGGCGGGACCCGAGGGCCGACTCGGCGAGAACACAGGAGCCACCGAGCAACCACGGAGGCCGCGCGCGTGCCAGACTACGACGCTCATCTCACGAGCACGAGCCTGGGGCCTCACTCCCCGCTTTGGTGACAAGAGCTCAGGCTCCCTTCGCAGGGCGGCCCGGCCTGGTGGTCGAAGCTGGACGCCAGTGAGGCCGGAAGGAAGCTTCTAGAACGTGTGTGCTCCAGCCGCCTTCTGCTGGGGACCGGAGGTCCCGCTCACTGGCACCCTGGCTGGGAGGTGCCCAGCGCGGGCCAGTGCGGCGGCGAGGGCCAGGCCTGCCCGACAGAGGGCGGCTCAGCTCTCTCCCGAGTCTCCGCTCGCTAAAACTTGTCCTTTCTGGTGTCCACTTTACTTTCAAGTTCCAACTGTCTGGCTGGGCGTGGACAGCTGCTGTGCCCCGGCGGCAGGCCAGTCTGGAGCGGGCCGCACGCCGGCCACGCAGCCAGGGCTGCAGCATCAGGCTGCTGAGCCTCCGGGACCGGACTGGCTGAGCCGCCAGGGCCGGCCGGGCCCCGGGGGTCTCTGAGCTGACCGGAAGGGCTGCGCCCGACTCAGGCCGGGACCGAGGCAGCCCCGGGCGACGGCCGTCAGCTGTGACCCGCAGTTCGCAGGCCTCGCCCGGCAGCCGGAGCTGCACACGGGCGTCTCGCTGTCGCGCCAGCGTCTTTGTCCCGCTGCTCTGAGCCTACTGTGTGGACGAACCTTCGCCCAGAGGCGGAAGGAGAGCCGGTCTGCCCTGGGTTCAGCGCTGTCTGCAGCTGCAGGGCCACCGCGGATCAGGACAATGGGCACAGGCCCCTCGGCCGGCAAGTGTCTAATCTGGTTCACACCCAGGACAAATTAAAATAAAAAAGTCGCTCCCCTTGAGAAACAAGCCCCCGAGCCCACTTCATCCTCACCTTGTCAAGAAAGGTGGGGCGGTCCACGGAAGACTCTTTGGAGATCGGTGGGCGGCAGCCGAGGGGCTTGGTGACCATGCCATTGTAGTCGGTCACTCCCAGTCCGCGCTTGTCCGTGTCCACCTTCTTTTCCAGCAGAGCGCCTGCAGCATGGCCAACAGCGGTGACTGACACCAGACAGCACCCACCGGCGCCCCACGCTCAGGGCGGCCAGGCCGGCCAGGGGCCAGGGCCGAGTCTTGCTCTGGCCCCTCGGGCCCAAGCCTCTCTCCCACCGGGACCACCCCCTCGTCACACGGCGCCAGCCATCACCGAAGCGGCAGCCTGGGCCGGCTGCGCGGCCCACCCGACTCCCGGACTCTGCAGGGCGTCGGGACAGGACGCCGCAGACAGCCAGCCTCGTCCCCACGGCCGCCCCGGGCTGTCTCCACACCCCCACTCTGGCAAGGTCTTCTTGCATGCTGGCAGCTGACGGTGAGCGTCCGCACACGCCAGGACTCCGCACCGGCGGGCTCACCCGCTCACTGACGCCTACTTGTGTGCCTGGCACGCACCGTGGCCCTTCCGTAGCCACGCAGCTGGGAACGCGTGGCCCCTCCGACGCCCTGCCTCTCCCCCGGCTCCCAGGTCAGTGTCCGTGGGACACCCCGGTCTGCTGAGGACGTTTCTGCGTGCTGTGCTTCTGGCCGGCCGGTGACTCAGAACGGTCCCGAGCCCAGAGCAGGGCCGCACCCGCTAGATTTCCACCCGGGACGGGACAGCGGCAGTGCCCGGCGGCTGCCGGAGCCGCACGCACGCGGCACCCGGACGCGGGAACCAGGGACGGGCTGAGTGCCGCGGGGGCCAGGTCGGCGGCAGCCTGGCCTGCGAGTCACCCGACTACGGCGCCACGGGGCTCTGGGCGGGGCCGCTGCCGCCGGGCCGGACCCGCAGGCGCGCGGGCGGGCCAGCGCGGAGGGCACCGGCGTCCCTGGCGTTCCGGCACCTCTCCCGGCGCCTGGACACCTCACCTCAGCAGGCGGGGAAGGGTGCTCTGACTGGAAACACTGGAACGTGCCCAGAGCCACGCTCCGATCGGAGGCAGGCGCAGCCCGTGGCTGTGGCGGCCGGCCCACCCTGCCGTGCCAGACGCGGCGCCGGGCGCTACTTACTCATGGCCTGGTCAAGGTTCATGCTGTTACTCTTCAAGGCCTCCTCAGCTGGCTCTCTCTGGCGGGAAAACGGAGTCATTAGGCCCAGGAGTCGTCAAGCACCATCAGGCGTCGGCCGGAGGTGACGGCCGCTGACCTAACCTGCCACTTTGGGAGCTGGCTGACGTCACAACAGTCTGCTAGGTGCGTGACGCTTGTGGTGAGGGGGTGACCGAATGGAGCTCCAGGTCAGAGCCACATTCAGCACAACGGAGTACTTAGCGTCTGGAGAACCCCGAGGTCACTGCTGTGTGACAACGAGTGCCAGCAGCTCGGCCGGGCCCTTCTGCCCCGTCCCCTCGCCCCCCAGATGTGGGCAGGGGTCGCAGAAACACAGGGTGTCGTCTCCGCGCCCCGATTCTGGGCTCTGCCTGCAATTACTTTCACCAAGAAATGAAAAACAAAGCAGGACAGCTGGCTGTGCTCTGAGGATCGTCCTTGCGAGGGAGCAGGTCAGTTTTAGGGCAAGCCCAAGGGCGGCCGGGCCTCGCGCCCAGGGCCACCATGGCCAGCATCGGGCCAGCCCGTCTGTCCACCAGTGCACGCCTGCGGCATCAGCGCTGTGCCCTTCCGGAGGGCTGTTCCAGGCTGGGGCCACCCAGACCCCAGGGACACCCCCCGTTAACGAGAAGACATGCACCCGTCTCCTAAGGCTTTGGAAAGAAGACGCTTGAAGGGCGTGCAGCGGCCAGGCCTCCCCGAGCACTGGCCTCCTGCCTCTAGGCCAGGGGCTGAGCACCCCAGAGGGACGCTGGCTTGAGCCCCTCCCGAGCCTGAACTCGGGGCCAAGGCGGTCGCAGGGCTCTTCTCCGGGACGTGAGACTTCACACTGCGTTTGGCATTTTTGCCCCTACACCGCAGAGACTAAGGAGGCCGACTGTTAGTGACCACTCAAGACCGAAAGCTGGGGGGCGAGTAGCGAGGCCCGCTCAGCACGTTTTATCCCAGGGAAAGGCTCTCACACCTTTCGAGAGAAACGACGTGGATCTTTGCCAAAGGCCAAAGCAACGACCCGAAACAGACGTGCCGGGGGGAGGGGGTGTGTGGGGCGGGTCACGCCCAGGCTCGTCCCTCAAGGGTCTTCCTTCCTCATCACATGCAACAAGTGTGGACGGGACACGGGGCGGGGGCGGTAAAGGGAGGCGCAGTCACCGGGAAGCCCATGTCCGTGAGCTGCTTGACCAGCCGGTTCATGGCCCAGGCCTCGTCCTGCTTGCCAGCCGCTTTCAGGCCCTGCAACGAAGCGGGGGACGGTCCGTGAGCACCGGGTGCACTCAGAGGCCAGCGCCGCGGCCAAGGGAGGCCACCGGCCGGTGGGCGCGAGCCGGACGCTGCAGCCACGGTGGCAGCGGCGCGCTGAGCACTCTGCAGTGTAAAGGCAGGTGGAGCGCCGGCCCGGTCACCACGCACACCTGCCACTGTTGCGACCGGACACACACGAGTGCCCGGGACAGGCCTGTGTGGGCACCGCGGGGCAGCTGAGGCCACTGGCCCTGCCCCAGGCCTGGCTCCCGAGGACCCCAAAGGCGGCCCCCCCCCCCCCCGTGCCCGCAGCGCCCAGGGCTCCCACAGGGCAGGGGCCTCGCAGAAACTGCCCTGAGGGTTTGTCAAGGCTTTTCAGCACCACACCTGCGGGCCGAAGAAGGTGCCCGCGCTCAGGGCGTAGCCAGCGGGCCGTGCCCAGGACTGTCCGGCCTGAAGGCCTTGCTGCCGCCACGCCTCGCCGCTCCTCGCCGGCAGAGGACCCTGGTCTTCGTGCCTGCGTTGTGCTTACCGCAGACTGAGGCTTTTTCAAGTTAAATGTTTTGCACAGACAGCACATTGGCGCACCGCGGGAGGCGGGAAGAGGGACACCGGAGCTGTGCGTCCCGCCCCTGGCTCGGGTGCGCTCCAGAAGGAAGCCACTCAGCCGCCTCCTGCTTGGCCTTCAAGAGAATTTTTAATTTTACAGAAGCCCACTGATGGACAGTCGGGTCACGCTGACTCCCACTGCAGAGGCGGGCGCCAGGTGTGCCGCACCGGTGGGCAGGCTGCCCCAGGCCGTGCTCGCTGACCCCTGGAGCCGGCCGGTCTGGGAGGGGCGAGGACGCTCCTGGGCTCTGGCCGGCTGAGGCCTCTCCGTGGGGCAGCCGCTGCCCCCCCTCCCCCACGGACCACCTACCCGCATCCTCTGCCCATTTTCCTAGTGGCCAGTGGCTGCTGCTTCTAATGAGCCCTGCTCCCAGGGTCTGTTTCTGTAACGGGGCGGCAGCCCTCTCGGAGAGCTCAGCCACCAGTGCTTTTTCCAGTTTGGGGTCTGCTGTTTGATTTCGATTACGGCATTTTCTGTCATGCAGTTTCCATCAGCTGACATCTAGAAGTCTGACTTTCCACAGTGGTCTCCGGTCAGTTAAAAAGGCCTTTGCCCGCGAGACTGTTTTCAGGCAGCTCCGGGGCAGTGCGGCTGCCCTGGGCCCGGGGCTGTGAGCGTGGCCTGCAGCACGCCCACAGGGGTGCTGGGCCCGGACCCCTCCCCGAACACTGAAAGCCCCACCGACTTTTCTTTGCAGGGTCGTGTCCTCAGCGTTCACTGGGTTAGGAATTAACACTGGAGGCCTCCTCGGGGGCGCAGGGGTCAAAGCACAGCACCGAGGTGCTGTCTGCACCACCGCAGCCACGTTCGATTCCCGGCCAGGGAGGGACCCCAGCGTGTGGCAGACCCCTCCTGTCTCCCCGCTGCTCCCCTCGGCAGTGGGTTTCAGTGGATCCGCCTGTTCTGCTCCCCACTGTCTCTGGGGAGTCCTCTCCCCCCCCGCACCTCTGGCCTGCGCCCCAGTTCTGTACACACAAGTAAGTCGTTTTTTAAAAGGAATTAATGAAAGTTTAAAGATGCTTATTACTTTGTTTTAAAATATCAACAATAAACTCATTATATGTTAACATGTTGACATTTTTTAAAGGAAAATGAATCCAATTTCTAAAACAGGAGCTTTGGGGGAGAGCGCAGAGCCCAGAGCGCAGAGCCCAGAGCCCAGAGCCCAGAGCGCAGAGCACCCGCTGATGCCCCGCCCCGCCGGCAGGGGGCGCAGGCGAGTCCTCCGCGGCCGCGGCGCTGGCAAGGGGTCACACGCACCTTTTGGAGTCCTTTCTTGGGGGCGCTCCCCCAGGAGCCGCAGGACGAGGCGCTCTCCTGGGAGGCGGCGCTGCTCCACACGCCCCCTTCTTCGTCCTCCCACTGCCCGGCGCCGAGGCCCACGTCGTCCGTGCCGCTGCCCCAGCCTTCTTGCATAGGTTTTGCAGCTGCAGAGAGGGGCGGGAGCTGAGCGGCGCTCGGTGGGCAGCGGGGCGGCGGCGGCGACCTACACGCAGCCCCCGCCGCTGCCTGAACGCCTGGGGGCAGCTCCCCTCCCGACTCAGCCACTGGCGGGGTAGCCGGGAGCAGCTAGCCCTGGCGCGGGGGCGGCCCACCCCTGCCCTGGTGTAGGGCAGGCACCCCCACGTGGCACAGGCGTCGCCTGCACACGGCTTACAGGTGTGCGTGGGGAACAAGGTCCCAAAAGGGGGGGCTCAGGGAGATGGGGTTCAGTTTCCTTACTGAGCTTTGTTTTCAGAATATTAATTTTTCCTCTTTCTTAATACACAGTGACTTCTGGTGTGAAGTCCTCCCCAAATTTTCACTTGCCGGGAGCGTGAAGAAGGCTAAAGAGGGAGGGGGCGCCGCGGGCTGCGCCTGCAGGGCCAGGTGGCGAGAACAAGCCC